ATTGTCACAGGGCAGGAACAAAAGCTATCTCTTTATCTACCTATATCTATATATTTATCTATGTATATGGGTATATTTATTTATTTAATCACTGTACCTCTGAAATCTAGCACAGTGTGCTTGGAATCTAGGAAATTCTTATAGATATACTGTTTAATATCATGTACATTAAGCAATATTTATATAATATCATATATAGATTAATATACAAAAACATAAATGGCAGCCAAATTTTTAAATCTCAAACCTGCAGGAAATAGGTTACAGGAAATAGGTCTATCAAAAGGATATAATATGCATTTTTTGCTCTCAAGAAACAGAAGCAAATCAACAACTTCCAGGCAGAATTAGAAGCTCTGTGTGAATAGTAAGCACTATATTTATGGAGCCCTAAAAGGATACTCCTAATACTTTTAATAACTGAAAAATAATATAAAACATTACATGAACCAGTTGCCCTCCCAATGTGATTGTTCAAGGGTCCCTTACTCTTGTTCCTGAATCCTTGATGTTTAAGTTGTCAGACACCAAAATTGAATAGTCAATGGTTTACTTTGCCCACAACCTATACCCCAGTCCTGTGAAACTGTTTGTCTCTAGGAGGGAACTGACACTTACTATTAAGGGTGTTCCATCTCCCTCTCAACCACTCACTTCTTGACACTCTTGCAGGTATCATCTCTTTCAGTAATCCAGGTCACGTGCTCATAAAAGGACTGTTTAGCACTGCCTAACAGCAACAGTTATGAACAAACCAGTCGGCCCTTGTTATACAGGTTGAGCTAAGAAGACATTCATGGAGTTCTTTCAGAGTTCAAAGGCATGTAATTAGCATTGTATTTTCTCAGTTAACACAAAATCAGCAAAAAGGAGAGGAGTGAAAATGAAGGATAATCTGTTATCCAACACCAGACTCTTCTTCCAACTTGTTTTGTCTGAGGGTTTACTACACTTTAAGTTCCTTGTATTTTAAATGACTTACTCCCCTGATCAAGCAGCACTACCTCCATGCTTCTTCTCAGAACTGGCAGCATTTCTTTCTCCCCTCCACACTGGCTCCATCTTGTCTCTTTTTTATTCTTAGGTCTCATTCCTCAACTCCTTGGGGCACAAATCATCACTAGACTTTCTCCCAAAGAACGGTATTACACATTTCACTCAAAATTCAGCTACTATCTTATAAACAAGAGTGAGTAAGTCCACTGTTTTTCTTCTGTATAGAAAGATTTATATTAGTTAATATTTATAAACTAAGAGAAGAGAGATGCCTAATTTTTTTCAGTGGGCAAAAGCAATATGAACAGTGTTCCTACTGAAAATGTGGTAACTGACCTCAATTTTTAGATAAGCCCACTAGATAGAGCTTACCCTTAATCTTTGTGTGGGTCTTGTGTGTGAGCTGCATTACACTATACGCACAAGATTATATTCAATGTATGTGAATGTCAGGTTGTCTTTCAGATGCCAGTTATTTGATCAGCTTATTTTTTATTGAATGGTGGACACATAGCAAAATTCTATCGAAGTATCTTGAAAACATGACCCTTTGAGGCATATACTAAACTGTATTTCATTGTGTAATTATTCTTTATTGCTTATTTCTCTCAACACAATGTCAGCACAGAGCATATTCTTTTCTATTAAACCTCAGTTTATCTATGAAAAGTACTAAGTATACATTTGCTAATAGAGATACAAATCATCTCAGCAAAATAATAATATGAATTACAAAAATGGTACATATATATTAAATAGTTATCTAATGACCAGTGCTCTAGTCTGAATGTTTGTGCCCTCCACCCCAAAATTCATAGGTTGAAATCCTAACCCCTAAAGATGATGGCATGAGAGGTGGGGATATTGGTAGGTGCTTGGGTTTTGAGGATGAAGCCTTCATAAATGCTCCTAGAAAAGAGACCCCATACACTCCCTAGCCCCTTCCACCATGTGATAAAATTTCACGATGGTGCTACCCCTGAACCAGGAACTTGGCCATCCTGGCAGCCTGATCTTGGACTTCCCAGCCTGCAGAATGGTGAAAAATAAATTTCTGTTGTTTCTAAGCTCCCTACTCTGTGGCCTTTTGTTATAGCAAGCAATTTGAGCAGACTAAAGAGCCAGGCATTGTGTTAAATGTTTAATTTATATGTGTAACTGATAAATTGTACAAGAAAATGCACAGGATACAGTAAAAATGTAACTTTAATTTCTGTGTTCCAATGCTCTTTAAATTTTACTCCATGGGAATACTCTTCCCATGACCCTGAAACTCAAAGCATAGTATCTACTTTCTTCTACGAAATCTCTTCTCAAATCATTCCTCCTCTTCTCACCCCACTGGGGTCTGTAAGATATGAAAAATGTTTTTTAATAATTTCTCTGAATATTGTATGTATGAATGACCATCTCACATTCATTGTGGCATTAGATCTACAGTACAGGAAACATAGGCAAAATCAATAGAGAAAGAACACTAGGGCATCCTATTTTATATGCATCATCTCATTCAAACCACTCACAATTTTGTGAGACTTATGGAGGTTAAGTAACCTGGGCAGGGTGAAGGGCGCTAGAGATTATCATATCAGGCAATGGAGAGGTTTGGTAATAAAGTCATTAGTAGACATTACAGATTATTAAAAGGTATGTTCTTTAGAGCTAATGCTTCATTTTGTAAATGTTGAGTTGGAATTGGTTAAAATATTAGAATAGAACAGCTACTTTGGAGTAAATTCAAGACATTAAGGAGATTAATTATAAGTTTAGAGAAAATGGGGCATCTGTGTTGGATAATGATACACATGATGCCCCTGTATTCCCAGATGAAGAGATTTAACTCCAAATTCAGAGGCATCTATATCCCAAGTGGCCACCAAAGTTCCCAGAATGATAATTCCCAAGAAGGGGAGACAGTGTGCCAAGGCAGTTAGTTCCTCATATGACAACAGCTCCATCCCTCCAATTAATATCCATGCCATTAGTCATGGTTTCTTCCATAACATTGTTACTATAAAAAATTTTGAGATTCAATTTGGTCTGATTCCTTGTTCTTTGTGGTTCATAACACATATTCAGTAAGAGCTGACACAGTCCTTTCTTTAATGCGTGGAAAAATTATATATATGTATGTATCTGTCAAGAGTTACCTGCGTATCAATTGAGCACAGCCATTACTTAACATTTTACTACTTCAGAGGGGGAAAATATGTGTTTATAAGCATATTAAGGCAAGAAAGGCAAGAGTCTACTCAGCATCTGATTCTTAAAAGCCAATAGACAATGTGCATGCACAGAGGCAAAATAACTTACCATTCAAACATAAGTCATCAGAAGGATAACTTTTTAAAATCAATGTAGCATAAACATTTCCTATTCCAAACTGAATTACAAATTCCATAATCTGCAAGATCTATTAATGCCTTTAACACTAAACCCCACCATCAACTACTTAAGGCTATCTTATGAACCAGCCATGATAATTTCCAGCACCCTGAACAAGTTACTTAACCTCCATTTATATATATATGTGTGTGTATGTGTGTTTTATATATACAAACACACACATGCATTTAATTATATCTATGTATGTGTGTATATATATATATATATATATATACACACACACATAGAAAGAACACCTGTGTGTAGTTTAGAGATAGAAAAGATGAGAAAGCAAAGTGATAGTTTTATAAAACTTGTAATATTTAGCACATAATTTAGCAATTATAAAGCCCAAAACTATATAAAGAGTCCATAATATAAATTAACTAAGAAACACTACAAGGACCCCAACACTACAAGGACAATGATGACCCTCACCATCAAATTTAGGATTGTGGCCAGTTTAAATCTGAGTGAATATTCAAAACAATACTCATAATTTCAATAATAAATTGAAGTACTTTCTAAGCCAGTGCTATCTAAAGAAACTTTCTCTGATGATTGTGCTTGAGCACCTGCAATGTGGCCAAGTGCAAGGGGGGAACTGAATTATTTTAAAGTTTATTTAATTTCAATTAATTTAAATTTTAAAAGCTACATGTAGCTATAGTATTGTAGAGTGCAGGTTTAGACAGGAAAAAAGGAAGCCTGTCTAAAGGAACATCATGCAATGTGTCAAAATCTTTTGCAATCTAACAGGTAAAATGAACTTTGTATTTCCAAGTTACCGTAAATCCGAAGCACATTATATAACATCTTCATGGTATAATCTTTATGAACAAATTTCTCTACAAATTATGAGGAAGACATTTGAAACTTGAAAAGTGCTACTTCTGTGACTGGACTATCACACCACTGAAGTTTTTTAACAGGTACACTTCCCTTTATCAAGCACAGTTTTCATTTTCCACAAGAGAAGCTATTTTTCCCAAATATATCCACCTCAAAATAATAACGGAAAAACATAAGATGTAACTGAATTTCCAAGAATGAGAGAAACCAAAGTCATTAAAGAACTCTTATAACCCAAATTTTGAGCTCGTGCTTGTTTTAAAATCCCACAAAAAACTAACTACTACTAAAAACTTCTGTTCACTGGGATAAAAGCTGTGAGCTTTCCAAGTCATACTTTTCCCCCTCCACTTGTACTGAGATATTTTTTCTACAAATCATTGAGATATAACTGATATCCACCTTTGTATAAGTTTAAGGATAGTGCATAATGAGTTGACATATCTATATTGAGAAATGATTATTACCATGAGTTGTTAACATACATCTCATCTAATGATTAAAAAAAAGTTTTTACTTTGTGTGATGTGAACTTTAGCCAACTTTCTAAAATACTACAGAGTAGTGATAAATATAGTCATCACCTGTACATGACAAGCCACACTTCTACACCTGGCATACGCACATCCCCAGCTCAGCAGACAAAACTTCCAAGCCCAGCACACACTCACACGTCGGATCCCTACGCAAGTGTAATTCCGGCCTCGGTGCAGGCACACCTCCGATCCGTGCGCATCCCCGCGCAGGGTCGGTATCCACCCCCTCACCTTTCTCACTGACGCTCTCGCTCTCCAGCTCCACGTCCTCGCAACTGGTGTACTCCGGCGTCGACACGCCCTCCTCCTCCGAGCTGCTCACCGACATCTGCCTCTTCTTGCCGCCCCTCTTGGGCCGGTGGGGTTTGGGCGGCCGCACCGACTCGGACTGGTCCGAGCTCAGCGAGTCATTCCGCAGCATGATCTCCGCCTTCTCGCGCTTGGCCTTCCGCAGGAGGACTGCCGAGCTGGGGTCCAGGCGGCTCTGCTTCCTGAGGGGCTCCTGGGCTTTGGGCTCCAGGGCTTTCGTGGGAGCCGGCCCATGCCTGGGAGCCGGCGGGCTGTGGTTCGTTAGCTGCTTGGCGCCCGGTGCCCTGGCTTCCGCAGTCCTCTCGGTCGGGTAGACCCGCTGGGAGTCTGGCGGCAAAGCCCTGCCGGCGGCCGGCGCTCGCTTCCCCGCCTTGCTTTCGGGCGGCGAGGCGCCCGCCTCGGTGCGTGGGAGCGCCACGTCGCTGTGGCGCCGCTCGTGCCTGGCTCGGGACACCCGCGCGTGCATGCGCATCTGCTGCTCCTCCGGCGGCGGTTTCACGGGGTACCGCGCCAGGTTCGGGTCGCTGCGGTACCTGGTCTGGTACTCCTCCTCACTCCTTTGCTTCTCGTCCTCCGCAGCTTTGCCGTCCTCACGATTTTCTGGCACTTCGGGATAGTCCTGTGACCGCCCTTTCTCCAGCCTTCGGCTTTCCCGCCGGTCTTTCCGCTCCCGCTCTTCCACAGCCCCCTCCCCAGGTTGCACCGAGGACTTTGGCCCGCGTTTCCGCTCGCCCTTGCCTTTGCCATTCTGCTCAGACAGCCCTGGAGTCTTCTTCCTGTGATATACAAAGGAACGTCAAAAAGGAGACCAAGGCCTAAAGCGTGAAGTGAAAACCAGACCTTCGTATTCCAGATTTAAATCCTTTCGAGTAATTACTTACAATTCGATGTTTAAACTGAAAGTGACATGATGAGGAACCAACGTAAACCTGTATATCTGATTAGCTTTCTAAATAAGGGTCAGCATTATAATATGTTCAGGGACTTTAGAAAGTGTTTGAACATTTAAAATTCTCTATAAATTAGATCAATAAAAACATCAATAAATTAATTCAATAAATGAAAGTTTTATATTAACCACTGCTTGTGAATCATAATCTTTTAGATGAAACTCATGTAGGTAATAATATTAAAATATAATAAAGGTAACATCGATTCAAAAATAAGTATATACTTGATATATACTTAGACAATAGATATGGACAATCTTTTATTATAACTAAAATTTTTAAAGAAATGTAAATACAAGTGTGTGTATTTCAGAAGTCAAATCAAATAGCACTTCTCCAGCAGTAGAACAAAAGTAATTTTAATGAGATTATATTCACCCAAACACCTTTTTAGGAAGTTAGGGGAAAAATTACTTAATGAATGAATTTTTATTTTACCTTCAATGGGCAATAATAATAGAAATATTGAAATTTAAAAATATTCATTTTCCTTCCCTCTTTCTCTCCCTCATTTCAGAACACAGTGCAAAAGAAGAAAACAGGTTTTTTCCTGCTTTTCTCTTGTTGAAGTCATTAGCAAGATAAGAGAAAGGGGTTTAGCAATCTTTGAATCTTGTAGATAATCATTTAACTGCCCCTTTCAGCACTTCCCTTTACACTTGTGTGGACTTAATTTTGGAAAGTACTGGCAACTACTAAAAGGAGGTGTCTTAGTTAAGCATTCTGACACTATGTGTTCTATTATGCAATTAAAATAGAGACAACATAAGACTTTTTGGAATGTTGAGGCCCATAGAAAGGGCTTTCTAGAGGGAACATCATTTGACAAAAAATCTAAAAGCAGAAGTAATAAACATCAAGTACAAGATGGGAAAAAGGAGGGCAATTTCTACTGGGGATTACCAAAGTAGTAATTGGCTAAGATATGTTGTGGGTCAGTTTGAGGAGGGGCTGGTGATAGTGAAAAGAAAGAATAAAGCATATCAAATGGTGTAAGAAAGCAAAATGGAAACATGGCAAATTCTGCTTTAGATTACATTGGTCACTTGAAGTGAAAGGGATTTTCTTCGAAGATGAAATTGCAAGGGTGGTATTGTGAGAGGCCTAACAATACAAATAAATCATTATAAAATACAGTTTTGATAAGAGCATGATGATTGTACTGCTCATTAAGGTATAGTTGATCTGGTTAGAAGTTTATATTGAGTTACTTTACTTTTCCTCAAGTGCTGATAAGTCATGCCTGCCTTGCAGAGTTCATGTGAGGATCAGAGGAGACACCGTCTGTGGAAATGCTTTATGAAAGGATAGAGTGTTATGCAAATGCGAGGAGCTGTCCAGTCTCTCTGATGCTTTGCTTTACTGATTGTTTTTCTCACCTCTACCCCTAATTGCCCCATTTTCACGGGCTCCTGATGAGTGTATGAAGTATGATCAAGAACACTTCTATAATTTAAAAGAGACTGCCATTTGTTCAGTCTTGCTTGTCTCCCTGAGGTTGTCACCTTTTTCTTCTCCTACACTCACTATGTCCTTGCTGTTTTCTTCAGTGTGTATATAGTCTGCACACGATTTGTGTAACCAAAGGGCACTTGCCCCTATCGATTTTTCAAAGTTCATCAATACAAAGTTTCTTCTCAGTCCTCATTTTTTAACTTATTTTTCATTTTTCACCATGTGCCATAAACAAGATTCATATTTTCTCTTTAGAAAATTTATAGCACCAAATCACCTTACTTAAAAATATCATATTCTGACCAATCTCAAACTGCACCTTCAATTTAGTTTTCTTAACAGACATCAGTTTGTTATTGATGTTATTAATTGTTAATAACATCAAAGTTATTAATTATTAATTCTGAGTATCTCTGGTGTCCCTTCTGTCTTCAATACACAGTTTATGCACACTCTTTTATTTCCTGTAATGTCTTCTCCTACTCTTCTACTTACCTTACAACTCCTGGATATCTTACAATGCTTAATTCAGAATGCACTTCCTCTTTCCTGCAGCTCCCAAAGTACTGCATGTATTTTCTAGCTTTAATCAAATTAGTCTTTTGGTACAGTTATCTGTCTTTCCCAGGATATTGTGTGCTATCTTCCCTAGGATCTGTGAGAAAGCGATCATGCCCTAATCATCTTTATACTCTCCGGTTCCTGGTACAGTATTTCCTTATATAAATAAATAACAGCTATTGGCTTAAATAATAGTTACATTAATTGAATGCTTCCCATGTGCCTGCATCTGAACAGAAGTTCTCATTTAATCACACTGAAACAACCCTGTAAAGTGGGTTGTTACTAGTGTGACGGAACTGGGACTAGAAGCCAGACCTGTTTAACTTTGAAGTTTTTTATTTTATTTATGGGCTTTGTTTGGAAAGGGGAGCAAAAGCCTTTCTTGGAGCCATAAGCAGACAAGCTTGCTCTCAACAATAGTCAAGACCCCCAAACTACCAAGCCCATGAAGTAAAGGCCTAGATGCCCCTTGTTAACATTATCCCAGTGCAAAGGATCCAGTCTGGTCATAAATACATTGTTTCAATGAATGAATGAATGAATGGATGAATGAATGAATCTATTGAAATAAAAGATTTGTTCATGTTCACCCATACTAAAATTTCTCAGTGGCCTTCCATTATTCCTAGGATAAAAGCTATAAAATTTAAGCTGGCCAAAGGCCCAGTGTGACTCGGGCCCTAATACCTTCACCACCCCCTCTCCTCCATCCCTTGCTCTGCTACTCACACTCTAGCTGATGGGTACTCTTTAGGTTTTCCCACAAGCCTTGTCCCTTTGGGCTGCATGTTCCTGCATATACCTGGACCACACTTCCCACTCTTCACCTGGTTAATTCCTAGTCACTTTTAAGAGTCCAGCATAAAAGAAATGTCCTCAAAGAAGGCTTTGCTGATACACCCACATGCCCGCCAGTCCCCACATCATATTTTCTCAGAGCACTTTCAATTAAAGGACTAATTGTGTAAGTGCATATATGATCTAAAAATTTTGCCAAATTCAAGGTTGGAAGTTAGCAGCCCAACTGGGTGACATCAGTTCATAATAGGACAGAAAAGCTTCTCAGCAAAGGTCTCCAAAGGCACGACACATCCTGCATATCAACAAAGCACCTCATGTTGTTACCTTCTGTGTGGGGCCTGAGAAGTACCACTTCCACACATTTTTCTTAGTAACCGTTAAATTCTTGAAAATGGGTTTGCCATCAATACAAGACCTTGCCTTTTGCTCACATGGTTAACAAACTATTACCTCTCTCTTGGAGGTTCACTTCTAGACCTGGATGCAGCCTGCTTCTGCTCCAGCCCCAGGGCTTGCTGTGAAGGCTCAGCCCCTTTGCTCCTGTCAGGCTGTGCACCCGGGGGAGCCGTGTCCTGGGAGGAGGCAGCTGCTGTGCTCAGGGGAGTCTGTGACCTTGATCGCTCTTGGAGCCGTGCTTTCTTTTCTCTGGGTACCTCAGAACCAGCACCTGTAGCTGTATCACTTAGGGTTCCATCCTGACTGGGCGGCTGAGGGCCACTTCCAAAGAACCAGGCCCCGGATTTGGTTAAGATTTCTTGCTGCTTTCGACATAAATTGCATACCCACATAACCTATTTGAAGAAGAGAGAACAACATAAATTTTCTATGCCATTTGGAAATAAATTATTTTCATCAAATATTTTAAGGAAAAATAGTTGTCATGTTCATATTTATCTTTATAAATTTCTTGTAAAAAAATCCTTACAAAAGTCACAGTCAAGTATATGAAGTCACAGTGCTTCTGGGTAACCAGGATAGAGTTTACTCTTGCCATTCTAATCCTATGATTCTGAGTTTTCTTTTACCATATATCACCATATTTTGTATGAATGGCCTTGAAGTTTTACATAAAATATGTTACTAAAGTGTTCTAAGAAAAGTAGTTGATTGATTAGAAAAATATTTTAAGGAGCTATAGAATTAATAATTATGTACATAAATTTAGGTGTCTCAAAGGATGTAGAAGATATCTATTTTTTTCAAAAAATCATGGATTATTAAAGCCAATATTAAAATATATTTCTCTGGAACAAACAATCAAACAATAAAAGATAGGTACAAAAAAGGTCAGGTTGTATATGTTCTCTAGTTTATTACTAATAAACTAACCTCAAGTGTATTTTATGCTTTCAAATATAACTTTCCACGCACATATTTACTAAATCCATAAATCTGGGTCTGGGTTTATTCATATGTGAAAACTGTGATATAGTTTCCACTAAGAGAGCTACTTTGGAATGGTCATTTAGAAATATATCCACTGATAACTTATAGGACATATGACCATCTAAAATAAATCTATGTGTCTGCTCCCCTCTTGGTGACATTAAAAATAAATGTGATAATGAGAACAATGATCATACTAGAAGTCATAATAACAGCAGTGACACCCAGCAGACACAGAGCTAGACAGGTGCCTGCAGTCCTGTGAACCTCACTTCCAGTGACCCCAGTGCCTCTGCTTCTTTGTGGTCAGTTCTTCTTGCTGCCTCAGCTGATCTGATTTCCTTTAAATGCACTTTCATTTCCCTTTCTACTTCAGAAACAACCTCCCCTTGCCCAGGAAAAAGCTGATGACCAAACCCTGGGGCCTCATTTTCACAAATAGGAATTCAGTCAACAGTTCCTCAAAAATATCACATAAGGGTGAATAAATCCTGGATACATTACATGGGAAATGATGAGTAAAAGAAAGCAGCTTTATTTATTTGGCAAACAGAAGAAAATGTATGACCGAAACATTCAGATGGATAAGAGGAAAATTATAACTGTGGCCATAAAATTTGATGAAAATAAAAACTTGAAGAAAAGTAATATACTTTAACACAGAAAATATTGCAGATAAACTGTTAAGAACTGCTGCTTTCTAAGCAAGGAAACTCAAAAGAATTCATAATGCAGGGTGGAGAGGAAGGTTTACCATTGTTTGCATGGGAGATAATACAATAACAAATAATAATACAAGAATAAATTGTGCTTCATGTACTCACAAGTGAAAACCTACTTTTGCCCTACCCTGTATGGGGGAAACTAAGGCTTAGAGATATTTGCAAAAATGTGTAGTATTGTTGAAACTTAATTCATTTCTACATTTCCTCAGATCATAGAATGAACTCAGTTCACAAAGGTAGTAAGGCATAACATCTATGTCTCCCAACAGATTTCTCATTTACTAAGGTGTGAAATAATATGAACAAAATAAAGGATTTGTGTAATGTAACTTTAATTTCCAAATAAGGCTATATTACACTTAAGGTATCATAGCCTGGTTATGTCATCAATAGTGTCCTTCAGAAGTCCTGATGGGTTGCACATGGACATATTAAAGATTACATCATAGGGGGCGGTGACCCAGCACCATGACTTCCGTGCTGAGTGATATTGATTCTCCTCTGACTAGACCCTGGATGGAGACAGGTGATGTGTTTCCTTATTAGCTGCCTCTGTAGCTGATGTGAGAGTGATAAGCAGGTCTGAAAACATACCATGTGTAGTAAGTCCTCACTTAACATCGTTGATAGGTTCTGCAGCTTTAAGTGAAACAACACGTAACAACCAAATTTCATAAGCTAATTGTTATTAAGAAGAGTTAAGTTCCTATGATACCTCAGCAATGTTCTAGAGAAATGACACTGAATAAATAATATTCAAGGACTTGCAGTAGTTATGGACATGGGTATGAAACATTGACTATTTCACATAGACCAAGGAGACATTAAATTTGTATTTGTTATACTAAGTATAAGAAAAATATTATTTGTGATCTAAGTTAAGTCCTTTCCTACAAAAATATTAAAGCATACTTAGTATAAATTTTAACCTTCCTTTAAAACCATACAGAAAAAACAATAACATTTACAATTAATACAAAAATTCAAAAATGGAGGTCGAAAGAGGCAGAAAGAAGCATAATACCGATTAAAAGAAGAGCAAAGGAGACTGTTCACTTCTTTGAACATCTTTATCTTTTCTAGAACATTCTTATTTTGACTGCTTCACATTTTAAGTGTTATAAAAATGAGCCAGTGAGAGATAATTGCCAGATGTGGGAAAGTTCCAAATTTTGAATATGCGCAGAATTGCTACATGATCGGTAAAGGAAAATATAGTTATTATTAATTACATTTAAATTTAACTATTTAATATTATTTTAAATTTATTTAAAAAGTTACAGTTAGTGGGTAAGTAGAAACAGCTACTTTAATATTTTCAAACTATTATTTATTCACTTACATCTGTGATGTTTTATCTAATTTTGTCTATTTTTAACACTTAGGAATATATTGTTTAATTACAAGTATTTTCCTATATCTTATTTTCTGGTGCACCACAACATTTTTAGATTTATATTTCACAATTATAAATGTGGTCAACCTATTCTCTAATTTGAAAGCAAAATTAACTATAAAAAGCCAAACTATTTTTATTAAAATACTACCACCCAATCTCAAAGATTAGTTATTCAAATTACTCTTGCCACAAAGTTTACAAAAAAAAATAAATTGCTTACATGAGTTGTAAAGAAAATATAATAGAATACTTTTGTCATAGCTTTCAACATAGTTCGTATTAAACATCACAGACATGTATAAAAATGAGCCAAATCATTATTTAAGAAGCAATATAGTTAGGCATGTTTAAAGATTCTCTTTCTGAATATAGTAGTAGGTATTATTATGCTTGCCTGGAACTATATAGATAACGCTTTCTTAAGTAATTTTTTAAAAAGGGAAGACAATTATTTCTACCAAGGGAAAAAAATGCTACCCCCCCCCCCCCAAACACACACACACACCTTTTAGAGACAGCACTATGCAGGGTCAGGCTCTGGTTAAGTGGCCTGGGATGTGTTCCGTATTAATCTAAACCAAAGCAGGTCTATGTAATAACTTAGCTTAATAATTTACAGATGCTAAGCAGCCAAATAAATACAAACTCAAAGGAAATATTGTGATGCAACAAGGCTTCTGAAAGTCCATGCCATACATCAGAAATATGAAGAATACTTGAAAATTTTATTTTGACCTTTTGACTTAATATCATTTTAAATTCCATCTTCCCACTTAATGAATACTTAAGAAATACAGTAAATTGTTAGCACTTTCACAAGTCCTCCCCCAGGCAGTGGGGCCAGGATTTGGTAGCTGGTAATGAAAGAAAAACTCTTGGGTGCATTTTTGCCCTGACTCTGTGCCAGTGGCAGCTGTCACTCAGTAGCACAGAGGGAAAAAAAAGAAAGAAATACAGTAAAGTGTTTTATAAATTCCCCATAATTAGTTCAGCCCGAGAAATAGAAATTACAACATCCCCTACTGCATAGAGAATGGGGTGGGGAGGGTGGAGAGAGAGAATAAATAAGAATTCTATGGATAAAATTGTAAGTTTGGAAGAAAAAAAACATTATGTAGAGGGAGAAATACTTTACACTTGCCTTGACACAAAATGTTTATAGAACCAGGAGCACAGAGCAGAAGAACCGTGCCTTGGATTTACTCTCAATGATATTTGTTACTGAGGTGAGTCATGACAAAGAGGTACAGTATCTTACATTAACAATGTCTTTCATATAACAATCCATTTGAGGTATTTAGTATTATCACATAAAGAATAAATATAAACATAAAGGGTTTTTAAAAACAAAGGATAACCTGTGTTTAAATTCTCATTCTATGTTTTAGATACAAATTTTAAAACTGACTTTTGTTTAAAACAGCACTTTATTCAAAAATTGTTATGCTACCTACCATTTTGTGCCACTTTAGGTATTTTAATTTTAAATTAAAATTGCTACAACTGTCACAAGAAGAAACTGAAAATCTTAATGGCTTTAAACTAGTAAAGAAGTTAAATTAATCATTAACAGACAAAAGAAGTTGAATTCATAATCAAAAGACAACTTACAATGAAAATTCTAGAGCCAGCTATATTCACTGAAAAATTATTTTCAACATATTTAAAGAGTAAATGATACAAACTTACATGAACATTTTTTTATTAAAAAAGAATAAAGAGAACTATTTCTACTTCTTAATTCATTTTATCAAGTCACCATTCTCCTAATACTAAACTCTTGATACAAGGAACCCTGTAAAAAATAATAAAATAAAACCCTTTACCTCTCTTACAAATAATTATACATCAATAAATTAGAAAACATAGTAGAAATGGATAAATTCTTAGAAACATACAACCTTCCAAGACTAGATCATGAAAAAATAGAAGATCTTAACTGACTGATTACTAGTAAGGAGATTGAATCAACAATCAAAAACTATCCAACTAACAAAAGTCCCAGGACCCAACAACTTCAGTGATAAATTATATCAAATATTCAAAGCAGATTTAATATGAATCCTCAAACTCTTCCAAAGAGTAGAAGAGGAAAAAAGACTTCCAAACTCAGGAGGCCAGCATTACTTGCATACCAACATCACTCAAGAAACCACAAGAAAATAAAATTACTGGCCAATATTCCTGATGAACATGGGTATAAAAATCTTCAACAAAATATTAACAAACTGAATTCAATAATACATTGCAAGGATCATACACCATGACCAGGTAGGGTTTA